TTAATTTTAGACAAGTCTACTTCAAACACAATTAGACAGAAGGTGCTTTTTTTGCCTTTTTTTTTTTTCCCTACATGGTGAGTGAGACACATTACTTATAATCATTATATACTAGTTTATTGATCGTGGCTTTTCAGTATTCACTGTAGATAGGCTTACTTTACCGGAACTGTCAAGAGACGTGTCTGGTTAACAAACAATTACCAATTGCAGGTGTAGCAATAAGCACAGGGATTTTGTCAGAACATACAGAAATGTGCAGGGAATTTTTACAAAAGGTAAAAGGGATTTTCTCCTGAATCTGATATTTTTCAAGAGATGTTGCCAAAGTCTATTTAATGGCATTTTAGAGGTGGTTCAATGTTTTATTTTCATCTCAGCTTATTGTATTTTAATACTTGAAAAGACCAGACAAATGGAAATTATTCATGGGACTTGCATATATGGAAAATCTGTAAGAACCCACACGACGGATTACACTGGCCCATTGCTTATAATATAAGGTTACCACTGAAATGTATTCTGGTTATTAGGAAAGCTGGAAGTGGGTCAATTATTTGAATAAACAAACAAAGACCTGGTTGCCCCGTAGTTTAGTGCATCCCTGAGACATCTGTAGGCTCCTTTCCCACGCCTGCTGTCTCATTCCTAAACTAGCAGAGGCTGTTGTGCAAGGCAGCTCGGCAACTCCTAATGAACAGGTAGCTCAGTGTGCTCCTCAGAAGCAATCCCTGCACATTGTCCACCTCTCCACATTTGGAGAGGAGAAGGAGCAGCTTATCAGGCCAAAGGAATGTTCCTGTGTTCCCTCCAAAGGGGCCATGTGTTCTGATTGCATGGAACACAGCAGTTTGGTGTGTCAGACTCTTGAAGAAGGTGAGAAGGGAGAAGGTATGAGCCTTCAGCTTTCCCCAAAAGACTGGAGGACAACTTCAGCAAAAAGAAAAACAGCCTCACAACTGACAATGTAGTTCCCAGCCTTGCCAGGAAACAGTATCCCTACATGCAAATTCTTAGGTAATTGACTGGGGTTAAACAGAAACAATTCAAAAAAGATACAAATCCTAAACATCCATTGGGACAAAGTATGCATATTTGAATTCCTTAGGAATGAATGTCTATATTTTTAAAAACAATTAATGTTTCCCTTTTCCATTAAGGCCTGTGGCATCCAAAACTGTGTAAAGCTGTTGGCCAACAGGTTTGTATTTACCCTGGGAGTCAAGGTAAGATTCATGACACTGCTGCTTATTAATTCTCTTGTTTTAATGTCTTTGGCTTTCGCAAGTTATGACACAGTAAATACACTTGTGTCACTTAGCAACCTCAGCTGTTTGTAAAGGAATGTCTTTTGTTCTTGGAAATCTATTACAAATGCAGATTACAAAACAATTATTGGGGAATCTAAACTTGTCTTATTTGGATGGTGTTCTGGCCTTTCCTCATTCTGGATTAGAATTGTGCACAGGAAATTAATTTACTCTGCACAAGCATCCTTCATTGACACTATTGTTATGAACAGAAGCTCTGCATATTTAACAAATATGCCAGAAGTTTCTGTAGAAAATAAAAGGCATGAGAAATGCCTGAAGAAAGGAAGGACTGGAATGGACCTCCTAGTCACTGGGTTCACCCAGTTCAAAGCTGTCTTACTGTTTTGTAAACAACGCTATAAATACTTTACAGTTGTGCAACACTACATAGTCTCTCTCACAAATTTATCAGCCTGATTTATTTCTATACACAATGGCAAAGTCTGAGATCACAGATCACACAGCTCCAGCAGAGGGGTTTGAAATGTAAACATCTGCACAGGTTAAGTATTTTTTATAGTTTGTACATTGATTGGGTTACAGGGTTTCCATAACATATTAGAACATGTGCAAGATTGTTTTCTAAACATTTGAATGGATAAAGTGAGAGTGCAAAGGAACAATAATCATATAAAGGAACCAACTATTGTTTGCAACTGTAATGTCTTGCTTAATAGAGTGACTTAGACAAGAAGTTGCCATGAAAATTTTGGCAATCCCAGAAGTGAAAGAGGCAATCCACAGAAATTTACCCCAAAAAAAAAAAAAAAAAAAAAAAAAAAAAAAAAAAAAAAAAAAAAAAAAAAAAAAAAAAAAAAAAAAAAAAAAAAAAAAAAAAAAAAAAAAAAAAAAAGAATAGCAGCAATGCACATTGTCAAATTTCTGCTGAGAAAAATGTTGTGAGGGGTCAGAAAAAAACTTGTCAACAGTTTTGCAACTCTTTTCATACTTTTATTTTTAAAAGAACCTGCCTTTATCCTTAGTGTTTTGGGCTTTACGGGTTTTTTTGTTTGGTTGGGTTTTTTTTAATTGCAGTTATTGTGGTAAACTGCTAAAGTAAAAGCAGTGCTGCAGAATTCATCACCAGCAGTAGAAGACCAAGTATGATAACCAGGCTGTGATTGTCCTGATATAAATGAGAATACCTTGCTGTAGCTAACTCAGGACTTGGCCAAATGACGTGATGGTTACAACTGGAGAAGCCCCAGCTTCTTCAGGGCTGACCTGGCAGCCAACCTTGTCCCTTATGCTCACGAACTCTGCATCAGAGCACCTATGACAGCCACTTTGTTGCAAAACCTGCTGTTGAAGTTCTCATTTCTACAGAGGGGCACTAGTAAGCAGCTACCAGTTCATAAACTGCTGCAGTGATTTCTGCTGGGAACATCCAATGGTGGCTACAGTCAGCTTAGACCTGCCCTTGGCATGGAGTGGGTTTTAATCACAGAAAGGTCTCTGTGTGCTGACATGCTGAGATCCACTCCACAGATGTGATTATGATGTAAATTCATACTGAGCCCTTTTTGATGCAGTTTTCTCACATAAGCAAGTCTTTGAGGGAGAACTTAAGATCTGACATAAGATATACCATCTTTCCAGCATTTCCGCTTTTCTCTTCTCTTCCAGTCTTACTGTGAAGAAAGCAGATAGATTACTAAAGTAGTGGCTGAGATTCTAAAGTCCTCTAGGAGGACATAATCTGAAACGCCCTTCTTCTGAAGATCCACAAATCTACAACACTCACTTTGCTGAGGTGGTAAATCTATTAATCCTGATCAGTAGCATTTTGTGTAACCATTTTCAGTATGTTTAGTTCTAAAATCCTCAGCAGATATTCAGTCGATTGTCAATCAGTCATCACTAAAGTTTTGCATTTAAAAAGGTCTGAGAACATCAGGATTCTAATGACAGCTCTTTGAGCTCCCTATCTGTGGCACTGATCTGCTCTATCCTGCCAGCTTTTCCCAGCGCTGCTCTTGGTTAGGGATGCAATGAAGCACGATTTGCGATTATCATTGCTGGGCTCATGAAAGCCCCAGGTGTAGATGTAATCCCAAGAAGCACTGAGCTTTTGCTAGTATAGCTTATTTTGCTTTTGCGGGAGAAGAAAAGCCTGGAATAAGCTGTACTGGTTTATTGCAGTTTTGTTTGTGTAGAATGACAGATTACCAACTTAGAAGTGATCTGAATATAGATCTCCCTTGGAGTTGAAGTAGATCCATCCACTGCATCTATGTAGGCCTGCTTTTGTTTCACTTGAATAGGTACTGCATAATTAAGGACTAAAAATGTTTTCTTAAAAATATTTTGCTGTGGGGCAACAAAATCTCACTTTTTCCTCATCTGCAAAACAATGCAATCCAAGTTTAAATTGCTAGTTACCAAGAAGGTGCTACAAATGAGAATGTATCAATACTTTAAATATATATATATGAATAAATAATATGCAATGAAGTAGCATGCTTTATGCCCAGCTCATGTAAATCCAGATTGGAAGTGTAATAATGGACACGGACAGGTAGGTTGGAGAGACCAGTAACATGTTAAGGTTACAAGCACGTTCACTAACACGTGCACAGGGTCTCTTGCTTTGTACAGCAAGTGAAAGTAGCTCAGGTGAACATGACAAACGGACCAAAGGACATGCCCTCTCCTTTGCCAACTGCTTACTGATTAATCAAGGGCACAGTGCTGACAGCAGTTACGTGTATGAGCAACTTCCACTTCACTAGGTACTCCCAGTGGAGCCGACCACATGCCCTGTCATGTGAATGAGTGTGTTCTGGACTATGCCCCTAGAGTTCTGACACCCAGAAAATGTTATGGTGATGGAATCAAGGAAAGGAACGGGACTAGGACAGGGAGAGGCAGGACAGAGTCTTGGTGCAGGTGATGCAGGCTCGTAGAAATCCCGACAGAACGCCCGCACAGAGTTGCCTCAGGTCTGCTAATTCTAGTGATGAAAATCAAGACTCCAAAGTAATTGCTATGCCAGGGAATTAATCGCAAAAGCAGTGCGCTGCCCCGTGCGGGGACACGGCGGGCATACCAAGCAGGGGGAACGCGAACGCCGACCGCGAGCCAAGCGGCCAGAGACGGGCGGCGCGAACGTGCCGCGATCCCAACACGGAATCCTGCGGAAGGCTACAATGGGCAACGGGAATCGCAGTGCCACGTCCCGCTCCTGCAGACGCCGGTGCGGGACGGTCGCAATCCGCCGGGAAGCGCCGGCTCCCGCTTCCAGGCGCGCGCTGCTGCGGGAGAGCCGCACGCGCGCAACCGCCGGGCGCTCGCGGGGGCACCGGCGCGCGCCCGCACCGGCAATCCGCGGGCCGTTAACGGCGGGAGCGGAGCGCGAGCGGAGCGGCACCGGCCGGGCGGGCACGGCGCGAGCACCGGACGCCGCTCGCCCTCCCCGGCCCCCCCCGCTCCGACAGACCGGTGCGGGAGTCTCCGCCGGGCCGCCGCCCCGCCCCCCTCCTGCCAATCACCGCCGCCCCGCCCCCGAGACCCGAGGTGCGGGGTTTGAAAGCGGGCCGGTCCACGCGGCTCGCAGAGGGGGGGGAGGGGGACGAGACAGGCAGCGGCGTATCCGGCGGTTGCGGGGCGGCCTCGTCCTACCGGCGGGAGCCGCCCCCGCGCTGTTGGCCGAGCCCTCCCCGCGCGGGGCGCCGGCCCCGGGAGCGGCCCGGGAGCGGTTGGTCCGGAGGGCCGCCCGCCCCGCTCCCCCCCCGGCCGGCGCAGTGGGAGGCGCCCGGGCGCGCGCGTCACCCATTGTTTACAAACCAACGCCAGCGGGCCGAGCTCCAGCCGCGACCGCAACGCCGGAGCCGCGTGTGCTCGCGCGCGCGCGGGGCGGCGGGCGGGCGGCGGCCCCGGTCCCGCTGCGGCGGCTGCGGCACGGCGGGGACCCGGCAGAGATGCCGTGCCGCCCGGGCGAGCGCTTCCTGCTGCTGGAGCGCCCGGTCGCCGTGGGACAGGCGGGCTCCAAGGACGTGGACGCGCTGGTGGCCAAGCTGGGCGAGGTGCTGCAGCTGAGCGCCCAGCGGGCGCCGCCGCCGCCCCGCGCCCCCAAGCACCTGGGGCCGGGCAGCGCCCGAGACCGCGCCGCCCCCTACTCGCCGCGGTGCTGCAGCGGCGGCGGGGCCGGGCTGCTGGCGCCGCGGGGTCCGGCCCCGCCGCAAGCCCACCCGCAGCACGCCGAGAGCCCGCGGCCGGACCGGAGCGGCCACCAGCGGGTGACCAAGCAGCTGTGCGGCCGCGGCTGGCTGCGGAGCGCCGCCCGACGGAGGAAGCAGCCGCCGCCGGGGCCGGGCGACGGTCCGGCGGAGGAGGAAGACCCGCACCGGCTCCTGCAGCAGCTCATCCTCTCCGGCAACCTCATCAAAGAAGCCGTCCGGCGACTGCAGCTGGCGGCGGCGGCGGCGGCAGCGGCGGCATCCGCGGCCTCCAGCGGCAGCGCCTCGGCGGGGAGCGGCGGCGCGGACGGCGAGGCGGCGGCGGCGGCGGTGCAGCCCCTGCAGTAGCCGGCGGGGCCGAGCGGCGGTGACCGGGGCGGAAGAGCGCGGCCGCTGGCGGCAGCGGGGCCCCGCCGGGCTGGCTGCGGCAGCGCGGTGCGGGCTCTGTCAGGATGTAAGTCTGTCCCGTCGGCGGGGCCCCCCCGCCGGTGCCGGTGGGACGAGGAGGGTGCCCGAGCCCCCCCGCCCCAAGGTCACCCGCGGTGCGGACCCCGCCGAGCCCCGCAGCTCGCCCGCCGGCGGAGGCCGTGCACGCCGCCGGCCCCGCGCTGTTGTTATGCCCCCCTCCCTCCTCTGCCTTCCTGGGAGCTCCTCCTCCTCCCCCCCGTCGGGGCAGCCCGGCCGGGGCCGCGGACCCCCCCGCCGCCGGTCCCCGCTGCCGCGGAGCTGCTCCGTCTCCCAGGAGCCATTTGCAATAATCCTCGCTGACCCCGGCGGGAGGTGTTTCCTTTACTCTCCCGGGCTGATTTTTTTTTTTGTTTTGTTTTTTTTTTTTTGGGGGGGGGGATTTTATTGTTATTTTAACGTTTATTGTTATTATTTCTCGTTGTGACTGTATGAAGCAGTTTTAAAAAAAAATGTGAATATCAAAGCTGGAAGGCAGCTGGACTTAACAAATAAGTGAGTGGAGCTTGAGGATGCATTGTTCGCATAAGGTAGCTGAAACAAGTTTTTTCTACCAAAAAGAAAAACCCTAAATCCACCCTTCCCCAACAAACGCAATGGCTCAAGTACAAGATGCAGCTGTTGATTTTAAATATATGCACTTCGTACCGGAGCGTTTGAAATGTGTTCCTGATTTGCAGGACTTACTGTCTTAATTAACCTGTCTGTATTGAATAAACGTGGTCTTGTTTATATTTTCGCGTCTGTGTCTCATTGTTAAGGTGAAGTGAATTCTCGTTCACGAGAACAAAATTGTGTGGATGATGCTCCAGGAGGCACGTTCCGCCTTGATCTTCTTTCAGCTGTAAGATCTCCATTTTGCAGGCAAGAAAAAAAAAAATCCCCACAACAATCCGCATAGTCTGATGCAGTGGGACACCGGCTATTAATGCATAGAGATGCAACTGAGCCCCTTTGTTTGCCAGCAGCGTTCATTTGTAAGCCATGAGACGCCCCTTCGAGCAGCCGAGAATGTGGCTGCTGGAATTTATAAGTCAAATCATTCTGAAACCAGAATTGGGGATCTTGTGTTGGGGCAGGAACATAGCTTGTGTTGGTTGCTTGTTTGGGTTGTCTTTTTTTATTCTTCCTCTGAGGGGGGTGGGGGGCGAATATTGAAGAAAGCAGAGGTAGGTCTAGGCAGCAATTAAAAATCTGTAAACCAGAATTTGATAATTTGATGCTGGTCATTGTTAAGTTCTGATACCTGTTTTTGAATACCTTCCTTGGTAAAATCCTACCTTGGGTTTTTAGGAGTCATTGAGCTTCGAGATCAGAACTGAACACATCAGACAGACTGGAGCATAACAATTTCCCAACCCCCACTCAATTTGAGGTAAAAGCTCCTTTGAAGAAGGTAGCAATCCCACATGAAAGAAAATGGAAGATGTTTGTCTTTGTCCAAGAGAGCAATTTGAACGGCGATGTTTACTTCTGCGATTAGTTCTTTCACAAATACATTAATTCCACAAAATATTTTAGACTTCTTTCTCTGCCACAGCTACTAATAGAAACTAATGCTGAAGGTTTTTATGATGTCTCACTGAATTCCTCATGCTCTAGGACCAGTATGTAATGTTATTATTAGCTTTATCTTGATTAATTTATAAGTATAATGCAGATTTTTTCCATATCAAAGCATGTAAAATGCAAAGGAAGTTCAATGCATTTTAGAATCTCCTTAATTGCTAGCATCTGAAGTCCTTTTTCTCATAACTTGCACTGCTTTTGTGACATTTTGCACAACTTTTAAAGGATTCAAATCTGCCATTAATTCTTAATCCTATAACACAATAGCATAATGGGTAGATTGTCCCTCCAGTGAATTTTTATTTGAAATTTCCTTGCTTCTTTCTTAATTCGGGGAAAAAAGTTCAGTAGAAAATACAAAGAAAATAAAACCTTAGCTTCGGATATAACCACCAGCCTCAACTGAAAAATAGGTTATTCTTGTATTTGCCCTTTAGATGCTCAGGAAGGTGGGTATTTGCTGTGCTGATGCTGAATTTGAACCCTGGGATGAATAGTTTAATTACTAAAAGAGCTGAAGGAGAGAAGCTAAAAACCGAGCACTGATAAAGCCCGAGTTGTTACACAACTGTGGTTGAAAGTATATGTGTGGGGGTCAGCTGAAATTCTGAAAGCTGGCAAGTTTGACTTGAACCTTTTTGCCACTGATAATTATGCATCGATTTTGCATCCCCCTTCCCCCCTCCCTTTCCCCTCCCCAAATCCTAGCCTCTGTATACTAATGAGAACAGCTAACTTTACAAGTGTCCTTTGTAGTCATTGAAAGCCTCGAGACATTCCTTTTAAGGATTTTACTAGAATAACACTTTTCAATAAAGTGGCAGTTGAAGTGAGGCGTAGAAAAGATGCTAATAAATTTCACTGTGACTGGTCGGTTTTTAAGCTTCCTAAATTACTTCTAAAATAGCTTTTACTTTCTCCTTTGTGCAAGGCTGGTAGATGTATATATGAAAAGGGTTATAGTAAGCTAAATGTTACGTAGAGTGTGTGATGATTTGATAAAAGGAATTTTGGCATTGTTTCAGATAATTTGCATAACTCACTGACGTGTCTTCGTCACTTAAAACGTGAACATCCTAAGCTCATGCCAGCAGCCTTTCTCGTCACATCTTCCAAATAAGTTTTTATCTTCTTCAAAAGAGAGCATATGTCACTTCTTCATATGGGAATGGATTGAACATAGCTTATTTTAGTTTTGGAAGCCACATTTTACAAGATGTTGGAGCAATTGAAATATTGCTAGAAGGTTTCTGTTGATTCATTGCAAATTCTCTTTTTTTGCCTTGTGCTACACCACGTGAGCATACAAACAGAAAGGAACTGTGATGTAAAAGTCATCATCTACTTTGTCTCCTAAACAGGATAAAAAATGTTGAATTTTGTAAGGTTTAAATATCCGTAATTCAGAGATGGGTTTTTTTTATTATATGTAGTCTGTGCTGGTCCTCAGATATCACTTGTTGGTTTCTAGAGAAGAAATTTTTAAAAGAAAACGCCAATGTGTTTGGCCTTCACAGTATGCCTAGGTTATTTTCATTTGTAAGTGAAAATGTAATTTACCTCAGCTTTAAATTTGGAATAAAATGATATTTTCATGATAGGCATCTAGCTAGGTTTTAACTTCCCCCCCCCCCCATATTTTGATGAAAAAAAATTGTTCAAAACACAAGATTTTGCAGTGGATCACATGAGCTGTGGAACCAAAAGTAAACCATTTAGATTTTTGTAACAAGTAATGTTTCAATGCCTGGGGCAAGATATTTATTTCCCTTATATCTATGGGGGCTATATTTTGAGATCAAACTTGATTTTAAATAATTTTGTAAACAAATGCACTGAAGACTCACAACCTTATCTTTCGATGCACCTCTCTGTAATGTAGAACTAGCATGGCACAAGGCTGGCATAGCTTTTTCATTTGTAGTCTATGTTACTGCTTAACTCCTGAGTTTTCTCTATAGAACTGGACAAGTCAGTTTTCCTGACTCTTTTTGCTCAAAACTCAGCTTCACACCATAGTTGTATCTTGCTCTTTGTACTCCCATGTTCCCTGAGCTCTTAAAAGTAACTCAATTTAGCCAGAAGTCTGGCAGATAGAATGATTTTTGTGTGCTATTTGAGTGTGTGTCCTGTCTCCCTTTTAGCTCCTCAGTGTGTATTGTACCAGCACCTAGAATATATGTTGTTATGTTACTTGGCATAATAAACAAGGCAGGAAAGCAGAGACTCTGCTCTAAGTCCTTAAAATCAAGTTTTAAAGAAGTCTTTCAAGCAAATAGCAAGCATATCTCATGGAAGGCATAAGGGAAAAGAAGGATGTGTGCTGGCTAATGCACAACTTAAATTCTGGTCAGCCAAGGCCAGTCCCGGTGTTTGTGGTTATTCCATCTTCACCTCCATCCAAAAAAACGTTCCTCATTCCTTCCTAGTCCCTGGCCCAATGATTTTCCTCTCCTCACCCTGCATTCCCTGCCTTACCCAGGCCATTATTTTCAGCTTGTGGTTGTAGTCTTTCACTTTTATATATCTTTTGTCCATGTCATATTGCTTTTCCCAAATATTAAGGAGCTTTATTCTCTTCAGTTCCTTTTTGATAGGTACTTTTGATGTGCTTTTCACTTGACTTCAAATACTGTAGCTCAGTCACTTTTCGGTAGCCATGATCTGGCTAACTTCTTTTAAACCTTGTAGTGTGTTAGTTGGAGGGCAAGTTAAAAGTGTCCTTCATCTTCAGTTTGTACAACTGCAGGGCAGAAATCAGAGGCAAAATCCTAGCTGCAACAAAAGGAACAGATAAAGTTAACAAAAAAATTCCTTTCAACTTCTATTTCTATGGGGCTCTTTGCTTTTTTGGGTTTTTTTAGAAGTAGCTGGAAAACACCACCTAAAGTGCTACAGTGACTCCATAAATGCCTTTGGGGAACACAAAAATGACATCGGCAAATTCATTTCCTGAGTCAATTAGTTTGGTTCGCTTTTCCTCTTCCAGAAATGATGCTCTAGCTATGTGACTAACCTCAGCCACCCTTGTCAAAGCTGCAGAACTCCAATTATGCAATTTCCTTGGCAAAAGGCATCTGCTGGAAAAGAAGGAATTGGTGCCCATAGAGAGAGGAAGGCTGCAGTGTGCCCAAGCCACATTAGTAAACATTGTAAACTTCATGACAGAGGAAGCTACAGGAAATCAGGCACCATAAATTCAGAGGCGTGCAGCATTAGTAGTTCCTTTTGCAATATCCTGTATCTAAATTTTATTATTTTTGCTTCCCATTATATAATATGGTGGTGTCTGGTAGAGTAATACAGCCAGCTAAGGGTGCTCTTCATCACTGCAGGCACTAAGACATCAGCAGTCAA